TCAGTTAACAGCGACAACCAAAAAGTAAAGAGGCAACAAAGCAACGAGATTTTTGAATATCCGGAGTGCGGTAGACAGATAACATCACGCATCGGGTTTTTCAGTCACAGAAAAGCTCATGAAAGAAAACGCCTTGCGTGACCATCTTCTGATGCATGTCAAATACTCGTCAGCGAGTAATGGCAGTACCCAAGCAACACAGATAGTTCCAAATCCCTTCGGTTTAAGACTGGCTACTAAAACATAGTTCCTGGGTGCACCCTGTTACATAATTTGTCACTATATCCGGTAATACCACTGCAAAGTATTTTTGGATAGTATCTGTTACCACCCTGTTACTAGTCATTTGGAATTTAAAGACCCAAAATTAAGGTAGCAAATGGGTTGTTGCGTCTAGTAACTGGGACTACGCAAATCCTTTCATTGTTACCACTAAGTGGCAAAATCTACATAGTGACAATAAATGCGGAACGGCTACCAGCCTGTGCTAATAAACTGGGTGTATTAAGTACTTGTTACTATATAGTACCATGCTTAGTCGCAGAATAGTCGCAGTACCCTATATTTTGGGTCTTAAAGTTACGAGGCATTTGAGTACTGATTGTTGGTCCCAAAATAGTAGCTGCAACTATGGTTTGTTACTATAAAGTAACGGGTACTATACTCCTATTGACGTCTTGCTACTATAAAGTTGTGGAAACTAAAAAATATTTCTTTATAGTAGCAGATCACGTATTTACCCATCCTGTCCGTTACCACAAGAATAAAGATCAATAAAATTGTTTGTTCACTGCGCTGCTAGTGGAACTTCCTAGACAAGTTCAGCAGGATAAAGGGTTTATTGGATTAAATTTAGAGAAGTATGACTGGGCTTTGATATGACAATAAATTATTTTAAATTTATTTTTGAAAATTCATATACATATTATTATTATTTTCTATAATTTGTAAAGATCTTATAGCTGCATTTTTCTAGGAATGTCGAGTTGGTGACTACTGATGAATTTAAAGATAAAACAGAGCTCAGAGAAGAAAGTAACATAAGTCAGGAACTAAGGCATTGGGCATTAAAACACCAAATTAGCCACATTGCTTTAACAGATTTACTTGGTATACTAAAAAATGAAGGCTTAATATCATTGCCAGGAAACAGCAGGACTTTATTGAGTACACTGAGATATTGTGCCATTGGTACAATGGAATAAGGAAGATTTTAGTAGCACGTTTATCCGAAGAGACCAACCTAGAATCGGTGTCTCTAATTTTTAATGTTGACGGCTTGCCTACATTTAAGAGTTCTCCATTAGAATTTTGGCCGATACTTCTAAAAATGCATGAATATCCTTGTGATCAACCCATGGTGGCAGCTATTTATTGTGACAAGACAAAAGCTCCATTACAAGAATTTTTACATGATTTTGTAACAGAATTAAATGAGATTTTGGAGACTGGAATTGAAGTAAATCAAATTAGGGTGAAAGTAAAAATTCAATTTTTTCATTCATCAATTTTTTTATTCAATTGTTTTTGGTCACTTCATGTTTCACCGGAAAGGACAACTTTTGATTTTTAAATGGCACCCTCAATATTTTTTGCTTAATTCAATAGAAAATGACACTCTGAATAGAATGACATATCATAATATAACATTTTCTCATATGGTTTATTTGAAATTGTAACATTGGTTCATAACGACAATTTGACTCGAAATATAAAAAACGAATTATTTATTTATTTAAACGAATTACGAAATTGTTCGTAAAAATGCTTTTTTCAAATATGCTAATAAGTCATCCTTGATGGTCGCTTTTGTAGTCCCAGGAACGTACCTGCTACTATCTGTGTTGCTTGGGTATGTATGGTTACTGTATATAATTTTCTCAGGGAAAAAATTGGGACTTGAAAAACAGGGACAATTTGTTCCAAAAAAGGACAGGTGGCAACCCTAGTCTTAACAGACAGACTTCAGTTTCACAGGGTTCAGTTTTTTCCTTTTGAGGTACGGAACCCTAAAAAGGAAAAAGAATAAAAAAGGACAAAATATTTTTTAGCTGCAATTACCAACGAAATTACCTCTATCTAAAACAACGTACCGTACGTGTAAATAACGGATAGGACATGGAGGGAAACCGGCAACGCCATTATTAAATATAGATAACTCACAATATGAGCGCCTGTTTTATAGATAATTTACAGTCCGCACTATAATTTTAAAGCGCTATAATGTTGTGTGTTTTCCGACCCGCCGCGAACGTACAAAACGTCAGGTATTATCGCGCTAATAACTTGTCAGGTAATGGCCACAATGTCTGACATGATTAGTTCGATAATGGACATCGGAATGATATAAACATAATCCCTTCGGATTGAAAATCTATTAGATTATTATTTAACCCCATCATCGGCTGTGCGAAGTAAATTTTCCACTATTTAACATATTTTTTATGGGCAACGAGATGAAATACCGGGTGCGTCTCAAAAGTGGCTCACCCCTATAACTCTTTTATTTTTGCAGATAAAAAAACGAGATTTGGTATGTTAGTATATGACATAAATTAGGATTGATTGACGTATTCGATCGTTATCGGTCACTTCCTGTGTCACCGGAAATGACTACAACTTCTGATTTTTAAATGACACCCTCGGTATATTTTTACTTTATTCGAAAGAAAATGACACACTGAATAGAAACTTTTGACATTTTCAAATATGATTTATTTGAAATTGCAATATCCAATTCATAACGACAATTTGACTCGAAATACCAAGTGTATGGTACCAAATTATTCGTAAAAATATGTTTTTTCCAAATATGCTAATGAGCCATCCTCGTTCCATTTGAAAAAATTGAGATATGATTAAAAATACGATTTGGGCATCTTTTAACAGGCCAGGACAAGACACTAAAAATATTAGACGATCAAATCTATTTTTCCAAGGTTGCTTGATTAAAAATTAGTGTCTTTAACACAGCCATGGCATTCTAGATTGAAATTTAAAATACGATTTGTTTCTAAGCGAAAATGTCAAAAGTTGACATATGATATGTCATTCTATTCAGAATGTCACTTTCTATCGAATAAAGTACAAAAATATCGGTCAATCAATCCTAATTTATGTCATATACTAACATACCAAATCTCGTTCTGTAATATGAAAAAATAAAAAAGTTATAGGGGGTGAGCCACTTTTGAGATGCACCCGGTATATAATAGTTGCAAATTAAATTAAGCAGAGTATGATTACGCAAATTTTGCTTCAATCATATTCTGCTTAAATTAAACCTTTATAAAAACGTGCATTACTACCTTAAGATATTATCTAGAAGAAAAGTCCCATTCGGAAGCTTAAAGTCCGCTTTTCTCTGCATAACCACATAATCCTGCAAAACAAAACGTTAAATAAATAAACATTACAGTTACCTCAAATGAGTATAAAATAATAAAATCGGCATCGATAATTTTTAGCAGCGCCGAAAGAAATCCATAATTTCAAAAGAATCCTCACTTCATTTCGCTGTTAAACGGTATGAAGTTAGTTAGCGGACTGAGCTAGTAATTTTTATGGCGGGTCCAGACCAAGCAGACAAAACAACGACAAGACAGAAACATGCATGTTTTACGACAAAATTGCGTTTACTTTTAGTCGCCTTGGTCTGGCGCGGCATTATAAATTCAAAAATCGTAAATATAAAAAGCATAGACCACGAAAAAGTTATGTCGTTCATATTTCATGACTAAACTCGTATTCAAATGGCATTACGTTCTCAATAAATATTAAACTGGGCGAATTTTGTGATGGATGTCCGAGTTCGATGCTTTTTAAATAATAAAAAACCGGTAATTGAGCGACCAGTTGTCGACGTCACGCCATTTTTAGATTATCGGCTCGTTTTGTCACAAATCGACGATTAAAAAAAGCATAAAAACCATACTGCATCATAAAACGATAAAAATACGTACTGTATTTATTTTCGTATATTTTGTCTTTTATTTTTCGCTATTAGAGGTTGTTTCTTTTAGTGGTTCATTATATCAAGTACATGAATGAAAAAAAGGACGTCACAATGGTCTTTGATATAACAATCGATTCCTATTAATAACGATCCCTTTATATACCATTTATTTCAAGTGCACAAGTAATGAAAATCAAAAATAAGATATGAATAAAAATGTTTACTAAATACTTGCAAAAATATTTGTAACTACTTGATAATAAAATAATTTTTTACTAGTTATAAGCAAGACTGGTCTTGGTCTTACTCAAAAATGAAGACCAAGACTATAGCGTTTGATCTGCGAGACCAAGACCAAGACCGACCAGTACAAGACTTGTAGATTGTTTGTTGTAGCCTTGTAGACTGTGATCTCTATTGTGCCCCCCTTTCTTGAGTTATAATTCATCATGCAGTTTCAGGGCTTTGACAAAAGCCAGTATCTGAGACGCTTTTGCAGAGGTTAGCTCTCCATCTCCTATATCGTTTGTACCAATGTTCATGGCGTGAATGGTTGTTATCTCGGCGCACTTATTGATGTGGCGTTCTGGTGATTCTCCATTTTCCTCAAAGAATCTGCAATGGTCATTGTTTCTAAGCTACAATCTACTGTAATTACAGTAGTACTTATTATTGTACTCTAATTAATTTGATTTTAGTAATAGACAATTAATTAAATATTAAAATACTTCCTTAATAAATTCATCCCATTATATGTTATAATATAAACAATCAATATATTCTTTCAAATTATATTCGCCAAAAATTAACCCCAAATTGCCATTAATATCAACAACAGCCATAAAACTGAAAATATTGCCATATAAAATATCTCCAATAACCGGCTTTTATACAGGCCTATAAAAATCACATATTTTTGAACTTTAAACCGATTTTAAAATCCATAAATATAACACTGTGTTGATATAACCTGGCTAATAACATATCCAAAATAAATATTACTTTCTTTTTTTTTTCTTGATTTCTTTATAGGTCTCCCCATGTCGATGAACACTACTCCAAAATTAGTTTTTGAGTAAAAAGTGTTTTAAAAAATGGAAAAATCATCGAAACAATCGTGCGAGTGTAGTGTTTTCGTAGATTTTCGGACGAGGTACTGCTGCGTACTTAATGTTAATATAGAGAAAACACTAGTTTATGTTACGTGATACCGAAGAAGGAGTGCAAGGATTTTAAAACATGTTTCCTGGATGCATCAGAGCCCCCAGGAGCGTTCAGGGCTCAACGGATGACGTATCCAAGCAGACCAAATCCATCATTCAGGTTAGTAAGTTATTAGTACATACTAATATTAATCTAGAGTCTGTCCAATGAGCCAGGGAAAATTTCGACAGACTACATCTAAAAAATGTCAGAAAATACACTTTTTTCCATAGCAAATGTTAAAAATTGCCTTATATCTATCAAAAATAGTAGATAAAATATGTAGTATTTCAACCGCAAGGGTAGATTAAATGATACTTTAACAGCGAGGATAGGTTAAAAACTTTATTTCTTCTCGCACGTTTTTTAATTGCTTCCATTTTTGAAAATGTTTGTATTCCTTTTCATAAGTTAATCGGGATTTAAATGGAAGTAGTTTGGATATGGCGTTTGTCGCCTCAGCCTGAATATCTGTTGGTAATTTACTTATTTCGCTTTGAGCCATTTCTGGCTCCAATTCAATCAGCAATCGACACGAAAGAGAATTAAAAAATATTGACTCAAAATTAATAACTAAAGAGACAGCTTTATTTATTTGTAAAATTACATAGAAACCATACACAAACAAATAAAAAGAGACTGACAAATCTCATGGTAAAGAGTGGGACCGCGTTCCCGTAGCGCAACTCAGAATAACAATTTTGAAACCAATTAGCAGGACCATAGCAGGACGTACGTCTTTATTGCTATCTTTCTTTATTATGTGTGCTTTATATGAAAAAGAAAGAGATAGGTATAAAACGTATCGTAAGACATTATCGCACATTCTGGCTGGCGGAAAATTTAAATTAGCCATTATTAGTAGTATTCAGTAGTGTTCTTTCATTCTGAAACTGAAAATTTTCACTTAAAGTGATTTATTCCCTATACCACGTAAAGGGAGCGTGGTGTAGGGAATAAATCAGTTTGAGTGAAAATTTCTAGTTTCTTTCAGAACGAAAGAATACTACTATAAGGGAAATTATAAAAAAAGCAAAAATTGTACTGTTTTATAAACATATTTATTTATACATAAAAACAAATAAACTTTTTATAATATAATAACAAAAAATAACAGTGTTTATTCCACCCACCTACCAATTTTAAATGCAGAAGAACTGACTGTTGCAGGAAACGATCGGTCAATTTTTTTAAAGGGCATTAAAAATCTCATTTTCGAAAAAACTGCCTAATTGCAATAACAAAGTGAATATCCAAGCAAAGAAGACTTTACGGGAATCATGACCCTGAACCATTTTCAAGTCCAGTTTTAATCCTAAAACAAAAGTAAAATAGGTATATTAATATAGTTTCTGCTTACTATAAACCAGCTATAAGCTACCTACCCAATAAATGAAAAAAATTGTATTAATTTGTTATGTTAAGAGAGGTTCGAAATATTTTTGACACTACTACTTTTTTCTTAATGAGATGATAAATATAACTACTTACTTTTATTTTACCGGGTGTCTTTAACACATCTATCAGAGAAAGGGGGCACCAATACATATAGAAAATTGACGATACTGGCTCCTGCAGCAAATAAAATAACAAATAGTATAACATAAAATTATAAGTAACAAAATATAAATACCTATATGGAACAAAGGAATTTGTTTCCTATTCATATTCATAAGTCAATAAACTGGAGAGTGATGGAGAGTTTAGAAAAAAAGGTAAATCACCAAAAGAAAAATTAACAAACATGACGAATTGTCATGATGTTGTCATCTTGGTTGTCATGATGACGAAAACGAAAGGCGATTGTTCTAATTTCTAATTTCTATTTAGAAATTACGTTTCATATGGCTGCTTCTTTCTCTCTTGTTATATTAGAATGAGATAGTGGGCCCAATAGCAACTAATGATATTTATTCATACTCCATGTTTACCTATTTTTCTGAAGCCAGCACGAAGTTTGACCTTGATTATACAATTAGAAGAATATAACTTGTTGCTCCAGAGTATCAAAACACAAAAATATCAATAGTTATTTCAGTATACTTACTTTAGGTATAATTTACTTTTTGAAATATACGTAACATCTGTATTTTTTATTTACCAAACTATATATAAAAGTACGTAGTGCCCTGGTCTTTTTACAACCCCAATTCAACCAAATGGTAAATATAGTAGTCACCCTTCAGCAGTCACGCGTCAGTACATGTAAACATTACAAACAAATACGTGGTAAAATTATCCTCCGGTGACAACCCTATCTCCTAAAATACTCGTAGCAGGATATTTATAACTCTTTTTTTAACAGTATGTTTTGGTAAATTAATTTTGTTCCAGGTAAAAAGATGATTTTTTTGAATTACTATAGAACACGTAAATATATTGTGATAAAATAATATATAGTCTATATAATGAATAACTTTGAATTTTGACCGTTATTTTTTACCAACATGGCAAATATAAAATCCCTCTATCCAAAAAGTTACTGATATTCTTTAAAATGAGTGCCTGAACGCATCAGATAGGTAACTCTTTTTACTTTCGTGAAATAGAAAAGGAAAATAATAAAACAAGTGACAGTTCTTCCTCTTCTTGCAAAAATCGACGCGAAATGTCATAATTGACAAAAGTAAAATGTCATCAGCTTTTGACATTTCTAAATATCAGACCAATGCAGTCTCTAATAGAACAGCCTCGGAGCGAGATTTATGACGTCACGCTAGTTAGATACCACGGATAAATAAATATGTTGCAGAATACATGGAAAACATAACTATTCCTCGTATTTTTGGTTTGTATTGTAAAAATGATATAGTTTACATGAAATATACATAATATACAGTTAATAAATACAGTATATATACCTATTTATAGTAATAAATACTTTGGCAAATAAACTATGAACCATACAAATGCAGCAAATGTTTTACAATATACAAATAATGAATAGGTACATAAGATAATGGGTAAAATGTAAAATATATTTTAAATTTTGGGGTTTGAAAATCGATCTAATTTAACAAAAAACATTCAATATCTACTAATAGTGATGTATTATTATTTGCATTCACAAAATTTATATGTATATTTTGAAAGCATCAATGTTATCGAAAAATTATATTTGCAAATAATACAATATCATAGAAAAAAAGGCGTCAGCGATGGCTATGAAATAAAGAATGCTGTCATTTTATATGTAAAATTATTCTAAAATTTTTGATTTTCTTGGGATTTAGGTTCGGGAAAAACGCTAATTAAGTTTTCATTATTTTTTTTTGGTTTAAAAAAAAAACGTTTATAGCCTTCATCAGTGTTGTGTCATATGAAAAAAAATAGTGTCGAATATAATCCAAAAAATTACATATACGAGGAATAATTATGTTTTCCATGTATTCTACAACATATTTATTAATCCCTAGTATCTAACTAGCGTGACGTCATAAATCTCGCTCCGTGGCTGTTCTATTAGAGACGGCATTGCATCAGCATGGCCGCAAGTTGCTAACTTAATAAAATTAACACTAGGAAAGCCCGCGGTAACTGTCAAATTCAAAGTTATTCGTTTCACAGACTATACATTTAAAACTTTGTATTGAAACTCAGTAACCATCAACTCGAAATTGGCCAAAGACAAGCTGCAAAAATTAGGAAAAGAAAATAAAGTCCTCCTTCTTTGGGTACTAGCCTACCAAAGGATTGAAGGTAATGAAAAAGCAAATGATCTAGCTAGAAAAGGAGCGAACTTTCTAAGAACTGGACAATAAGTGGAGACCAACTTAAAGCAGAAATCAAGAACCTGGAAGACTCCATGTGCAACCTGGAATGGAATCCTCCAAACGATCAAAGACATTTCCCAGGACTTACGACCGAGAAAAATCAAAGTAAAAATTCTGATTTAAGTAAAAAGAATCTTCAAGATTGTCACGGGGTTTCTAACTGGATACTGTCTACTCAATAAACATCTCACTACATTGAAGCTAAGAAAAACCAGTTTCTGTGGGGAAAATGGAGAACTAGCCTCTGTAAAACTGTCCCAGATACTGGCTTTTGTCAAAGCCCCGGCTCTATGATGAGTAACTCAATATTATTGCGTCTAAATTAAAAGAAATACAAACAAGACAACATTAATTAAATTTGAGGGCTTATGTCGTCTTTTCCCTCTAATTTTGACATTTTGCCAACAACCTGGCTGTGAACCAGAACTGAACTTTCTGGATAAGTGCCATTTCTTCTGCCAATCTTCTTAATAAAGGCTCGGGAAAGCCTCTGGAATGAGGTCAAACCCATAAAGCGCGCAATAAAAATAATATGTGTCTCTTTTTTTATTATTTCAGAGCAAATATAAGTATTATTTTTAGAACCAAATTAAAAACGGTGTATTAAATAAAATAACGAGAATAATAAGTATTAGAGATGGACAAAAACAGAATTTTTTAACTACACATCAAAACGAGTATTCTCAAAATAAAATAGGACCATAAAGAACCTTTAACTGACAGTTCTACATAGTCTAAATAAAGCCCTTAAATAGACTAGTTTAAAAATAGCCAGCCGAGCTTTCATCAAGTCGACTGAAACTCACCCTAACTTAAATCTCTTAATAACCCCAACGAAATGGTTTTTAGCTCTAATTGCAGACATCTAAATGATGCAGTACGGCTATAAACAGAGTTATTCGTTTTTAGATACTGGTACATCTGTTTTCGGTCGGAAATATATTGGGACTTTAATATTTTTTCTTTTTTTATAGCACTCATTATTAAGTTACTCGTAATCATTGGAGTAAAAATTTTATTTATGTATGGACATTTTTTTAAAGGTCACAAAAGTGTTAATTTTTGCGACGTGATTGACGATATAAAAAAGTCATTTTAATGCCTAGGCATAAAAGTACGAAAATATGTTATTAAAGTAAATAAATTATTTACAAGGTATTACTTTTAGAACTTTTTTATATTATATGGGAACGTTTAAAATTGTTTAAAAACTTATTTGTGACGTTTGAAAAAAAATAGCATGTTCTATTCGGAGTAAAAATGATTTTTGTACCTCGCCTGTAATGTCGGATTGTATCAAACGAACACAAATGTCGCCACAAAAGTATCATTTTTAGGGTTCCGTAC